AGCCATGCGCTGCAGCTCCGCAGTGAGATTTTAATCTCTTGATGTCTCGTCAGAATCCCGCCGTCGGATGGTGCAGCGTCTCGATGTGCAATAACGCAGAGCGCTGTTCTGCTCTGCTCTCAGAGTAATGACATGGCTGCAACACCGACGTCTCATTTTGTTCACACAAACCCGATTCTGCTCAGAGGAGACGGAGCGGCTGGGCGATGTGAATCATTATCCCCAAGTTTAGTGCCCGAGAACTTCCCTGAGTCGTTGATGCTTCATTATGCTGGAAGAAGATGCTTACTATTGGAGAGCAGTGAGAGTGGATCATTTTTTCTCTTTAATCAAAAAAGTAGAGTTTAGCAGCTCAGCGATCACAAAGAGGAAACGGAGAGATTCAACTGAAGGTGTTTCAAAGGTAGAAATAACGCGTCATTATTTAACTTTAGCGTGTCTGAGGATGTGCACGCCCACATGCTTACACAACGATCCAGGGGAGCGGAGAGGAGCCAATCACAGAAAAGCAGAACTCCGTGCTTTAGGCCTGGAAAGCCAGTGTTACTCAGACTTCATGCTGACCTCAGGCTTTTATCAACAATGTGTCACCCCAGGGTCCTCTGTGATTTTGGTCACACGACCTCAAAAACCTGGTGTTGAGCTAAAGTACCAACCGATGCTTTTTAAATGACTTTTTAAATTTTTGCAGCACGTGTGTTTTAGTGATGCGGCTTTATTAGTTTCCCTCCATTAATCTCATTTTTCTGTTAATAATGTCGTTGTCTTATGTCTAATGATGACGGATGACCAGTTCAGAGTTCAGTTTTATCTTATGGTTTCTTGGTTACACTTATTAAAATCTTCTGGTGCAAAAGGGAGAAAAGAAGCTCAAATATCTCAACTTTGATTCTGAAGGTCAGAGACAGGAAGTGCTGCTCGTGGGTTAGGGCTCAGCCTACAGAAGCAAGCACGTACACTTGTATGTAACGATAGCGCAGTAGATGCCTTCAGTCGACCCACTGAAATATACTGAACACCTTTCAAAGTGTTGACATCATGTAGTGACCAAATCACAGTCTGAACACATTTAAACATGAAAACACTCGTTTCACCATCAGTGTGTCTTTACACGGATCATTGTTAATGTGAACAGTTATTGTTAAAGTGAGGTGCAGGAAGTGTTTGTATTCCAAGGAAACTGACGTGTGACGGGATTACTGTCCGTGGAGTCGGAGCTACAACCTTTACGGGTTTCCGTCATCTCGGGGTCATGTTAGCTAAACCTTGGAGTAGGGCCCGGTGCCTGAACTTCATCTTTGCTGATAATGATCCGACTCTTACGCCGTAGCACTCTAAGCCAGACTGGTTACACTTGATGCTGCCTCACAGGGCCAATCAGAGCCCTCCGTTCATCATGTGATGCTTGATGGATAGTTCCTGTGAAAGAGTAATGCTGGCCCTGAGCTCTTATTGAATCTTTATTTTCTTTGTAAAGGACCCATACATAAGAAATGTCACACAAGCGTTTTATCACATGCATACTAACAGTCTGCCACAGTTTGTAAGGACTGCAGACACGTAGAAGGGAAATAGTTTTACCGAGGCCACAAATAGTCTCCACAAAGAAAGCAATTTATGAGAGCTAAGAAAATCCCAGCGTCAATTTAATCTAAACATTTCTGTGTTCTTCATTTTTCCTTGTCATTTAATTGTAATTATGTTGTTTCTGATTAGTCCATGAATGACTCATTAATAAAGTGTGTCTCGTCGTGCTCTGAACATCTTGTTAGTAATTCCTGGTAATATTCCACGCCAGC